TGTTGGCTCCGGGTCGGATATAGACTTTTCCCTCTTGAACTTCGCCATTCCACGTAATGTGATACTCAATCCAGATCCTCTTCAAAGTCGTCCGACTCTTCTGAGTCATCAAACGACGACGTCGACGACGACTCATCGGACGAAACCCACGTCACATGCTTCCCTGTCTTCTTTTCAACTGGCTGCTTCTCTTTATCGACACTTGGCCGCTCCTTCTCTTTACCAGTCCCCTGTTTCTGCGCACCACTCTTCTCCGCCCTCTTCGCCTTCTTCAGACCCGTGAGAATCTCATGTTCATGTTCCTCAGCGGCCTCGGTGAAAGCCAAATCTCCCGTCTCACCCAGTGCATCGCGCGCCGTTTCTTCCATCAGGATGCACAGAGCAATGAGCGCGGTTTCGTTCAGGCCTCTCCACGTCCTTCGCATGAGCTTGCGCGAGAAGCGGCGGCGTCGTCCAGTTTTGAGCCACAGCCTCTCGACGTAGGCTTTCATTGCGGTAGCCAGATCTCCACTGGGTAGCGTTTGGTCTGGAGGTAACTTGTTGTGAGCGGGATAATAGTCATCTTCCTCGTATCGGATGGGCGCATTCTTTCGCTTGAACAGTACCTCGTCTGGCCGAAGTGGTTTCCTGGATGCCTTGGGATCAGAGATGTTGTGAATCAGACCAGTTCGGGCGACTCTGCCTAGATATCCTTAGATCAACTGTCTTAATGATGAACTTGGGCGTCTCCTACGTTTGACGGCATCGTAGACGGTGGATCGACGCTTGCGAAACTTCGTGCGTTTGATCTTGAGCTTTTTCTTGACAGCAGCCATGCAAGATAGCTCCGGAGTGTTTGTCGTTGTTTTTGTGCCAAGGTAAGGCGGAGTGCAAAGGTACGCGGCTCGCTTGCAAGGATTGAGAGACCGTTGGTGAATGTCTGGCGACTGAAGATCCCTGTCGCGTGTGGACGCCAGGCTACAACGTCATAACCCTGGAACCCTCTGCGCCTCCCAAGGTTCTTCTTTCCCTCGCTCCAACACACACGAAGCATGTAGTCGCATATGAACGCCCAACACGTGCTCGACCGCGCGTACGGCTTCATTCCCAACCATGTCCTCAAGCGCGCCTATGCCTCCCGTCTTATCTACGCGCTGCAACCGTCTTCCGCCGTGACCTTCAGTCAGCACCTGCCTGCTCCCGACAACCCACGCGAGCGCATACCGGCGCATATATCCGGAGTAAACGCGCTGACAATCGACAAGTTCGAAGGACGATATCTGCTTTCTGGAGGTGCCGATAGCTCCATCGCGGTATGGGATCTCGAGGCGCAGACCACGGCAACCGAGGCGGGAGAGACATGTCTGCCTCTGACGGCGGTGAACAAGACGAGCGAAGAGCACAAGCTGGGCATTACGCAGATACAATTCTATCCCTTCGATTCTCTGGCCTTCCTCACGTCCTCGTACGATCACACCGTCAAGCTCTACTCCAGCGAAACACTTGCGACGTCAGCGTCTTTCGACCTCGACTCGGTCGTGTACAACATCGCCCTGTCACCTATCGCATCGCACCTTCTCGTCGCATGCGCCACCCAACACCCCAACGTCCGTCTCGTCGATCTGCGTTCCGGCGCAACCACACACAGTCTAGCGGGCCACTCTGGCGCAATCCTCTCTACAGCATGGAGCCCTGTGCGTGAACACATTCTCGCGAGCGGAGCTACAGACGGCAGTGTACGCTTCTGGGATGTACGCCGCAGCGTCGGTGAGCTGGGCGTACTGGATCTCGAGGACTCAGTCGGCATACTAGGGAAGCCCGCGTCGTTTACACGCAACTCTACCAACGCACAAGCGCACAGAGACGCCGTGAACGGGCTCGTATGGACAGAGGACGGCAAACACCTAGTCTCCTGCGGCCACGATGCGCGAATACGCGTCTGGGACACGGATACCGGCGCCAATACCCTCGCAAACTTCGGCCCCATGGTCAAAAACTCTGGCCTTGCGCCGCGTATCCCCGTACTTGCACCCACGCAGAACCTCCAGCCAGGTGCTGATCTCATGTTCTATCCCAACGAGCATGAGATACTTAGCTACGAGCTCTTTGACGGCAAGCTTATCCGCCGTCTGCGCCGCTCACAGCAGCCCCAGACGAACAAACCACCTAGTACGTCTGGTGCAACAGCAAAGGGACAACGCAATATCAAGGATAGAATCACAAGTCTAGCGTGGCGGCCACATCACGTAGAGATGTATTCTGCGCATGCCGATGGCAGTATAGCGGCATGGACGCCGCGAACGGAAGAAGACGCTGAAGCAGACGAGGACGAGCAACTGGAGCGGGAAGAGAAGGAGGTGGATAAGAAAAGGAAGAGAGGCGTGCTAGATGAGATATACCAAGGGTTGACCAAGAAGCAGATTACATTTGGCAACATGGGCTTTTAGCCAACCGATAGTAATATTGACAAGATGAATTGAATCGAATCGCTCAGACTGTTATATTACAACACATGCTACCCGCTGCGTCTCTTCATATGCCCATTACATATCATCATAACAGTACAATATATGCCCATCATCTTGCAAGCCCGATCTATTTCTCCGTCTACCCCAGTGTCTATCCAGACCCAAAATGCGGTAACCTAGCCGGAACAAATGGCTCTTCACCAACTCCCCCTCTTTCGTCTTCTTCTCTCACCTCGTCTTTGATAGACAATGGTCGATTCGGTGTAACAGCCTTACTCGAGTAATCGCTCTCATCCACATAGAACGCACTACTATCCGGCATCGTCTGCGTATCTACGAAACTCGGGAAAGGAATCGCATCGCTTTGATCCATCGACGGCGCAGTCTCGCCAACGGGCGTGCGTACAAGCGGAGATACAGTCGAGTCTACCGTTGTCATAAGTCGCGCTGGCGACGCAGAACGAGGCGTACTAGATTTGGTGGAGAGAGGTTGATCGGGCGCTAGACCGCGCTTGACGGCGAGTTGTTGCGCTTCCTGGCGTTTGCGACTGACTTCCCTCTCCTCTTCTAAACGAAGCCGTTCCTCTTCTTTCGAGAGCTCGTCGAGCGTGGGGGGAACTTGTTCGATTGTTTCTGAGACGGAGCGCGCGGAGAGGGGCGGTTTGTCCGAGTTGCTTGTGTTGCGAGAGGAGAGCGTGCGCGTGGATACGCGGGATGCGGAGGGGCGCTTGCTCTTGCTTGAGCGGGCCTTGTTGCTGCTGGGCGTGTCTTCGTTCCATTGCCCTGTTGTGCGGCGCTCGAGGGCGATGGTGAATTCGTCGTCGAGGGGCACGGCGTCTTCCAGCTCGTCTTCGCTCGGGAAGATGTCGCCTCGCGAGCTGAGGGAGTCGGTTGTGTGGCCCGATGTGTGCGTGTTGCTTCGCTGTCGGCGGTGGCCTTTGTTCTCGGGCCCGTCGAGCGCATCCTCGTCGCTGTCCTCTATCAGTGGCTCTTCCTCCTCACGGTTTCTTCTTGTTGCGCCTGGATGCTCTATGAGGTCTGCGGCCGAGGGCTTGTATCGCAGTCCTCTGCCGCCAATCTTGAAAGGCAACCGTCCCAAGAAGCCAAAGTACGAGGAACTCGGGATGAGAGTCGGGTCCTGGGCGCCATCTCGTGGCAGCGTCGTGCTTTTCCGGCGCGGCGTGTTGTATCTCGGGTCGCGATTTCGCTGTCCATAGCTCATGCCGCTCTGTCGGCCAGGCTGCGATGTTGCGCCATAATTGGCAGCGCCGCCGAGGAAGCGGTCGAGGTTGTCGCTGCCCCAGCCCAGCAGGCCGTCGTTCTCATCGTCCTCCCAGTCGTCGTAGAAGTCAAAGCTGACTTCTGCCCGGCCTCGTGACCGCCCGCGATTGCGCCGGCGGTCGTTGTGCGCTGGGAAGCATGGCGCCGTGCACGCGTTGACGCATTGGGTTATCGACGAGAAGCACGGATTAACATAGCGCTGCGTGAAGCCGTAGATATTCTCCTGCGCCGATTCGTTTGCGTGCTCGAGGTTTTCCGTGATCTGATGGAGCGTGCGATTCCACCGCGGGTCGCTGCGACGGTACATGGTGACGATGACGACGACGGTGACTAGCACTCAGTGGAAGCGGGTGGGTATTGCGTGGAGCAGCAGAGTGCTGCGATGCGACAGCGCATTGGCTTCAACAGGACAGCAGGCGCATTCACGCTGACACACTGAGGTATGACGACGTGGTCGATGAGATGCGGCTCGGTTGGCGCTCTAGGTTCAGATTCCCCAGCCCTGCGCCAGCCGTCCCAGCACCCCACATCAATCCAGCCTTTCACCCCCACAGTCTTGCTGCTTTCGGCACGCCCCTTCCGACCAATCCTACAATGAACCATGCGATACGTCCGCTTCCTCAAAAGTCCCCGCGTAGTCGCTGAAAAGGGCACGTCGAGAAAGCAAGTCCACTGTCTGATTACCATTACTTCAGACCTTGGGGATTCTTTTCTCCCTTACGACATCCAGCTAGCAGCAGAGTTGTCAGCAAGTACAGATGGGTCAGAAGAAAGCGTGATAGTATGGTCCACCGTGCAATGGACAGCCGGCATGCGCAGTCTGCCCATAACTTTCCCGCTCCCTAAATCTCAAGCTTCTCACTCCAGTTTGCGAGTAAGAGTGGGTGGGGAGCCGAAACGAAGACACGATGACTTTGCAGCCATAGCAGAAAAAGGCGCTCGGGGTGTTGTATCTGCCTGGAGCCCACCTTTCGCGTCAGACCAAGATGCTCTGAAATTAGTCGAAAGACGGTTCAAGCTGCCAGACGGACCTATCACTACCATCTGGGAAGAGACGGGAGAAAGCATAGCGAGGCATCTATGGTATGCATATCCAATTCTGATACAATCTATTTGAGGTGCTGATCATATATCAGGGACGCTGGTATCACACTCTCATCCCAGATGACAGCTCTGGATAATCCAAAATCCAGCCTAGCAGAAGCATTACTACCATATGGTATTGCATCTGAACCTCATCTGAATGTCCTCGAACTTGGCACTGGCTGCGGGATGGTCGGCATTGCAATCGCTCAGACCGTGTCCAATTCGAAAGTTCTCTTGACCGACCTTCCAGAAGCTAGAGAGATCGTTGAGCGAAACATCGACTCGGCAGTCAAAGCACCAGGTGCATCACTCGCGTTCATGAAACTGGACTGGGATGCAGAGTTACCTGGTGAAGTACAGACCAGCTCAGAACCTCTCGATCTTATTCTCGCTGCTGATTGCACCTACAACCCAGACAGCAGGTATGCTTCCCCTCACCCACTTCACATGTCTGGAATACTGCTGACTTGAAACTACAGCCCCGCACTAGTCAAAACGCTTGCACGACTCTCCAGAGCAAACCCTAAAGTCAGGATTGCCATCGCAATGAAAATGCGCCACTCAAGCGAAGCAGTTTTCTTCAAACTAATGTCCGATGCAGGATTCCTAGAGACAGACAAGATGGAGTTTCCATTGCCAGGAGATGTCGAAGTTGGCGAGGAGACTGTGTACTTGCACGTCTACTATAGGGCATTCTTTGCTCCTACCTAGCCAGGAGGTCATCTGCCTTGGGTATCGCTAGATTCTTTTCCCAATTTGATGAGCAACTCATTCATTCGTTTACCATCATTTGTCACATATAGCAAAAGAGGTGCATACAAGCTATTATAATCAAGACGTTCTGCACGCTTACAGGGCTGCTGCAAGGTAGCTAGCCTGCCCGTATCGTACGACACCAACCCCAGAACAAGGCACGCCAAGTCTGTGGAAGCCAGACAAAACCTACCATTCTCCAACGTCTACAGCAATCAGGCAAAAACTAAGTATTAAACGAATCAACATGCATCCCCATCCCACATCTCCAAGACAACCCCCCTCGCATCGATCATCCCATACCCTCAAACCCACCCCTCAGCCTCGCCCATCCCAAACCCAACACACATTCCTCCCGCCCACACAACCTTTATCCATCATACCCTCCACCCCCCCTCCCAGGCCATTCCCACATCCCGCAAGCTGACCACCCCAAAACCTACCCTAAGTAGCAAGTCCGGCGTGGGGTCCGTCGAACCCAGCACTAACAGCCACTAACGCTCATGCTGGTAAGCACTTCGAGCGCTAGCGCTTTCCGCAAGGACTACGCCGCTACGCCGCAGTAAACTAGTTACTTCCGCTAGCCAGATAGATGGATGGAACGAGCGGCTTTTTTGAAGGTGCTGATTGAGGCGTGATAGTGTGGTGCTTCGGGTACTAGCTACTGTATCATGCGCGGCTTTGGTGTCGTCTTGCTACGCATATTACCTAGGTACGGATCAGTTGGTACACACGTGAGGCTAGTAGTGTGGAGGTCAAAGGTTCACAACCCATTTTGTATGATTATTGTAACGATGTCCATCTTGTATATACAGTCTTGTCATGCTATGTACAATTGATTATCAAGTCCTGCAACGATTATAGTACGAGGTTGCGCTGGTGACCCGTTCGAGCATGTGTTGAATCCACCTCTTCGGTACTGCATACAGGGTTCAGGGCGATATTTTGTATGTTAGGCGACGCGATTTGGTTATGAAGGAGTTGATGGCTTCGGTGAGGGTGTTGGAGGGTCTTGTGCTTGCCTGAGTAGGTCTGTCAGCGTCGTTGTATTGGGTTTGGGGTTGGAGGGTGCTTACGTCTGGTTCTCCGTCTGGCGTAGCGGCGCGGTTCACAATGGCTTTTTCGGGCTCGGTTAGGAAGTTTTTGATTGAGCTGTTGGCGGATACGCGGGTTATGTTTCCGTAGCCATCGTATTCTTCGATGTCTTTGACGGGGCTTCCAGCGGCTTGTTGTCGGGCTGCTTGTCCGCGCCTTCTGTTCGATCGCATTATCAGGGTTACACCGATGGCGAGGAGAATCGTGACGAAGCCTGTGTTCACGTTAGATTCGTCGTGCAAGACTCTGGTGCGGTACTTACCCAGTACACCGAATAGAATGAACAGTGTTCTTGCGAGAGGGGTCAAACCGTGCTGCGGCTCAACACTGACGGCGGTGGCCAGACTGGAAGGTATGGCTGATCCGGAAGCTAGGGACAATGTGCGAAGCCCTGAGGATACGGATTGTCGTGTAGTCACAGCTTGTGGCGCCAGTATAGTTTGAGTGGATGGCTGGATGTCTTCTTTGCCTTCTGCTGTTCGCGTGACGGTGACAAAAGTGAGAACTGGAGGTAGCGATGAAGGCTTTGTCGTTGTCGAGGATGCTGTCGGTGATGAAGTCGAGATGACCAATGTCGGCGGCTGGGAGAAAGAACTCGTAGAGGATTCAGTGGCTGTGCTCACTGCCGACAAAGACGACGTAGTTGACATAGCCGTTGGACGGGAGTCGCTCAGAATCATGAATGACACTGCAGAAATATCCATTGTGGGCTTCGGTTGATTTTTTCCCGGCATGGGTTTGCCCACTGTCATCGCCGAAGTTGCAGACGGTGCAGTCGAACTCTCAGGGGTTGCGAGAGGTGTCACTACAGGTGTAGTCAACAGCACAGGAGTTTCTAAAGAGATGAAAGTCAACACTCCATGCACGTCTCCAAGGCGTGTTCTTCATCAAGAGCTTACCTTGGTTCATTCCAGGTACTGTTCCCAATGAAGGGTCGTCTTGGTTGACACCGGGAAGGGCTGCAATTTCATCCTGTGCGAAAGAGTCCGCTAGAAGGCCTGGGACTGCAGTTGAAGCAGGTTGGATGGTCATGGCCTCGTTCATCGCGATAGCATCTGCTTGCACAGTAAGGGTTGGCCGGATGGTAGATGCTACAAAGTTAAGAGAGAAAGTCGAGGTGGCATTCATCGATAACGAAGGTGCGGCGAAAGCCTGACGTGTTGATCCCTGGCCATCGGTAGGCGTTGGTACGGCCAGTGTTGAGAGCTGTTCGGACTGCGATGGGAGTACACCCTGTGTACCCATAAGAGAGTCCAGTGACCGTGACGATGGCATTGGTGGTGCACCTTCCGGAGTTAGGTTCTTGCTCGTATCCGATTGTTGGGATCTCGTCCAGCCTTTCCACGAAGTTGTGTCCATATTCTCCTCATTCTTGCCCTCGGCTACGATGGGCGTAACTGCCATCCTTGGATTGTTACGGCGTACCAGCACCGGTGGGGTATCATATGGTCTGCTCGGTGCAGCCATTGCGAGGTAAGATTCCCATAGAGGCGAGGAAGATTCACAGCACGCGAGGATATTGAAATGGCAGTAACGCGGGTGCCATACCCCAGCCGGCTAATAGTGGTTCCATACAAAAAGTACCAGATGCCAAAAACGTGCTGAAGCGGGTGAACGTTTCGGTGTGGGCTGCTACCACGAGATGCGGTTGGTCAAGGGAACGCCCACCGCGACTTTTCAGTACCAAACATGACCAGCACGATCCCTGTACCAGGGAGATCTGTCGCCTATTTGAGACCATGTAGTGCACCAGCTACGGTTTTCGGGGTATTGTATCCGCTTCATGGGGTTCCTCCAAACGTGCACTTGTTTCGTAGAGGACGCCAAAGTTTGTGTCGACACTCGAAACGTAGCGCATGCGGCGGGAACTTCGAGACCGGTCTGAACAATGGACGCCACTGCGATGGCCGCGTGGTACGCATCTAGTTGATGGAGGCCGTCCGGTTGATGATACAAAAAAAGGAACGGGAGCCTTGCTGTCAGCTCATATAGGTCAGATTTACAGATGACTTGTACTCTTGATAAAACAGCAGCGCATTGTTGATTCTTGCCATGGAGTGTGTTCTAACATGTTCGTCTTTTGCTCGCGATCAGAAACAGTAATGATGGGTTGTTCATTATGGAATTGTCGCGACATTTTCGACGGTGCCAACGTGAGGCATGCTCAGCTCCGACTCGGCAAACTCATGCAGCGAGGGTGGCTGTGCCTGGCTTCGGCACTCGTATCCGGCCTCACACAACGAGGTGTAATTCAGCGGTATTGTAGCATCCGGGATGGGGTTGTAGAGTAAGAGGACCACTGGGTGTTTAGCTCGCGGGTGCATCGGAACCAGCCTCTGAGGCCTCGCGGGCGCGGCGAAGTGGATCAATCCAGCAGCCGTCCGAGTCGATGATGCTTGCCGTGCGCCACCTCAGTCTAGGTCGATATTCCCTTGTCGCATACTTATTGTTCGTATTCTGGCATTTCTGCAACATGATAATCGCGTGTTCATAGCCGCTGTCGTCGTTCTTTTCGCACGTGTACCCCCCGAATGGCCGCACGCGACACGCCCGAGCGCGCGGTGCCGGAAACTATCGACCTCGAGCATGGGACCAAACGCGACCCTTCCCGTGACCGCGTCGCACCGAATAGTCAGAACTTAGAAGTCACCCCGCCATGGAGGAAAAGGCTCAGCGCGCGCACGCCGGTGCCCGTCGCTCGCTGGAGCCGCAAGGTTGTCGACTGGATCAAAGGGCCGAAGCCTCCGAGCAGATACACGATTACGCCTTTTCTTGAGCGCTGGCAGACGCTGCCTGTGCGTCTGCTCGCGCGGCTGCCAGAATGGATGCGTATCTGCGTGTATGCGGCGGCATGCATCGTGTGGATTGTTGTCTTCGCGGTAGTCATCAGTGACGGCGGGCTTCCGTCTGACGTCGGAGGGTTCGGGGCGCCTGTCAAGCTGTCGTGTATCAACAACCTGTGGTAGGGCCTCTCCTCTTGTACTCGAAGCTGTGATGACTGTACTGATCGTCGCCAGGCCTTCTACAGAGAGCTGCGGACCCGACGGCCGCAACTGCCTCCCCTTCTCCAACGCCTCGTTCGCCTTCGTCTGCCCCGCCGGTTGCTCGAGCGCCCAAGTCCTAAACCCTCGCGCAATCGGTCCGCAGGTTATAAACTATCGATCCCTGGTGATTGGCGGCACGCCGGATTCCCAGGGCGATGGGCTCGTATATCGCGGGGACTCGTTCATATGCTCGGCGGCCATCCACGCTGGAGTAATCAGTGATGGCAGCGGCGGTTGCGGTGTTCTCTCCTTGGTAGGAGAGCGCGACAGCTTCGGCGCTGTGACACAACATGGCATCAGCAGCATTGGCTTCGACTCGCACTTTCCAATGTCCTTTACCTTTGACGAGGCTTCGGCCAAATGTGAAGACCCGCGCTGGAATCTGCTGATCCTCTCGACAATCTTCACTGCTCTGTTCGGCATCTTCACCACGAGCCCTGCGACGTTCTTTGCGCCCGTCTTTACGATTCTGTTCTTCCAGACCGGCATGGCATCAGATCCGCCCTCGTACTCAAACTACGCCTCCTTGGCCTCTACAACACTTGGCCGCTTCTTGCCTGCGGCATTGGCTGCTACCCTCTTCTATCAGTTCAGTGTTCGCAAGTCTCTGCGTAACTGCAGGGCGCAAATCGAAAAGACCATACTCTGGGTAGGCGGTGCCTGGGTTGGCGCACTGGGTAATTATACATTTGAACGTATACCCATACAGCGGCTTACAGGAAACGACATCCGACAACAGCCTGGTGCTATCACAGCATTAGTAATCATCGTGCTGATTTTGTTTGCCGTCGTTTTGTACCAAGCATGGTGTTTCCGTAAGGAAGGGCGACTGCCACGCTATCTTGCACTATACGCTACATTGGGCCTTGGGCTGGGTATCCTTGCAGCTATGCCGAAGCTTACACTTAGGATACACCACTACATAATCGCCCTCCTACTCCTTCCAGGTACTGCGATGCAGACACGTGTGAGCTTGCTGTGTCAAGGCTTGCTCGTTGGACTCTTCGCCAATGGTATTGCACGATGGGATTTTGACTCTATACTGCAGACTGCAGCGGCGCTGAGAGGGGATGGCCAGCTCGGATCTGGTGTCCCAGCCCCTTTGGAGCTTGTCGTGAATGGTTCGAGCATTACATTCGCATGGGAGAGTCTACTCAGCGGATATGAAGGCGTCAGCGTGGTGGTCAACGATGTGGAAAGGTATCGGGGCATTGGTGGAAGCGACACAGGAAACTTCACCTGGAGTCGTTCGGATGATGCGAAAGATGAGTACTTCCGGTTTGGGTTCATCAATTATAAACTGTTTGGCAACGTAGCATATAGCGACTTTACGAGAGCGGGTACATGGTTCTCGAATGGGACCTGGTCTGGAATCCCACCAGGCCGTACATGATAGAACCCGAATGAAATCATCCTCGGGAGGTAGAGACCCGTTTAATCCCTTCATTGCAAACCTCGTTCCTGCAGATGTAACCAATGAGCCACTAGCGCGTTTACGTCACCGTTCAATACATGGAAACCTGGGCTTCAGGACAGGCGATCGACAGGTGGAAGCGGTGATCCAACGGTTATACAGACACGTCTTGGCCAACCGCGGCAGCCATGATGCCCTCTCCTGCGACAAATCAGGTCTGGCTCAGATTGTTCCTTCTGCTTTGGGTGCGGGGGTAGTCCGAACACGGCAGTGGACATGACGTCACACCAACAGAGCCGAGTTGCTCCAGGGCTTGAATGACCGCGCCTGCACTAGGTCATTTTCCACAAACACGATGCCTTCTCTCCCTCGGAACCTCTACTCCCTTTGACCTTACCCCTCTACCCTCTGGAGCCTCAAAGGCATGGATTCACCCCCGAGACGTGAAGCGCCGGCTGCTTCCAAGCGAAAACCTGTACCTTCGCCGACTGCACCTGGGCCTTCGCTTGAGCCAGAACGCAAACGCGAGCTTACCAGTAGACTAATACCGGATGCCTTTCTCACTGCCACTCTTTTGGCAGCCCTTACTCTCTCCTGGCCGCTACGATGGGTTATCTCTGGAGCGCCCATACTTGTCTACGCTATCCTCCTAGGCGAGGCTTATGGCCATCGTATCTTACCCTTCGTTCCCGTCTGGACCATCTTTGCAACTGTCAACTTCATTTACGCAGTATGCGCGACATCATGGCTTCTGTACTGGGTATTCTGGTCCCTCTGTTGGCCTGTTCTCTTCATCACCTGCCTCTTCCAATTCGAAGCACCGGCTGCTTTGGCACGCCGCACGCTACGAAAGACTTTCCTACGAGACCTGCACTTTATCAACGATCAGATAGCCTTCTTCGACCTACCTGCTCTTGAGATTGACACCGAAGTCAAGGGACTTTTCGTCGTCCGGGGAGTCACGCTCTCACTCTCCACAATGACACTTGTTGCTCATGGAGTTGAAGCCGGGATAAAGCTCGCTGACGACATTGAACTCGGCATTCAAGTCGACAAAGTCGTCGTGCCCCTCTTCCGCGAGATAACTGTCGACGATGTGTATGCGAATGTGAAGGGTGGGGATTGGGAAGTCACTTTTGGAGACGTACAGTACGGTGTTCCAGAACCAGATGACGACGAATCTGTAGTCGTCACCAACACTGCCATCCTCAGAGCGGCAACGATGAAAGGCAACGCCAACGGCCGCCCGGCTGAAATGGTCAGAAACCTTACGGCGGGGAAAATACCGACTGAGGCTGAAGACACCAAATCCGCATTCTCATCTGTCAAGAAGATCTCACCAGATGAGGAGCGCGCCCACACAAAGTACAAAGAGCTGGTGCGCTATATCAACGACACAAGCGCCATTACAAAAGCAAAGGAGGGGCTGGTAGAGGCATCGAAGGCACGAGCGGAGGCTGGCTTGACCGACGACGAAAAGGACACAAGAAACGCGAAGAAGTCAAAAGAAGAACCGGGAGTGCGCTTGGATATTGAAAACCTCGATGATTTCCGGGCAGCGATTTGTACCCAGATCCACGGGCAACCCTCGATACCTCACCCACCGACCAAGTCGATCAGAGTCTCCACTCTTCGCAAAACATCGTACCCAAATGTAAAGAAATTCTTACATCGGCTACCCTTCCTCTACCGCTTGATGCTCAGCCCCATCTGCTACTTCCATCCTGTCAAGTTCAAGTCTGTCACGGCAGCTGGCTCAGGAAAGTGGTTCACTGTCTTGATGCAAAAATATTTCTTCAAGCATTACTCAGCCCAAGATGCCGAGATTCGTAGATTGGAAGCGCGGATATCAGCCTGGTGCGCAGATGCCAATTTCGCTGTGGAATTGGGCCCGATTGCTAGCGAAGCCCACTTCCCCATCAACACCAATTACAACATCACGACCC